TGTAATGCCTGTTATCTCCCTGGGCACTGTTCCATGACTCTACCAAGTCCCCAACTCATTAGTTGGTAGTCAAGAGGCCTTGAGAGAAGGCTCGGATGGTGAAGAACACAAAACCTAACAGCTCTTGCCTGAAACCGAATTTCAAGACGCACGTGGGTAATAAGCAGACTGCGAAGCTGGACTCCTCGGCTCCATGCAGACAGCTGAGGCCACTGCAGATGGGACAGGGCTGGGCTCGCGCCTGAGGGAGGCAGCCGCAGGCCCATAGCTCCCCGACACTCCTGCTTCTCACAGACTAAAACGCTGCTTCTAAGATGCTGTGAGTGCTGGCTGCGAGCTCCATAGCCTTGGTCTTCCTGGTGTTCGGTTCCTGCTATTCCTGACACCAGGTATTAAACCTAAGTCTCCTTGGTGTGGACACGCAGAAACCTCAGCTCCAGCGCAGTGCAGGCATGAGGGGGGCTGTGCTTCCGCCTAGGGAAGATCCCTGGTGACAGACGCCTTCTCTTCAGTTGCTTGAAAGCAGAGCTGGCTGATAAACTTTTAGCCTCACCTTTTGTATCTCTGTCTCAGAGTCAAGATGTAAGGGTCTCCCCTACAATCCGAAAGAAAATTCTATGCTTTGCATGGGGAAGGAAGTATCTAATAGTAACCCCTCTGAGGGGGGCTCTAGACATGGGTATTACCCAGTCCAGACCTCTTAAACAGAAATTGCCCATTGTAGACACTTGCTGTTCTACCCTGACTGCAGTTTTGGGGGCTTCACTTACCTGCCTTGGGGAAGGTCTCACCAGCTTTAAGAATACCGTCCCAGGAGGGGTGCCTGGGTGGTTTAGTGGGTTAAGCGTTCAACTCTTTGATTTTGGCTCAGGTCATGATCCCAGGGTCGTGAGATCGAGCCCCGCGCCAGGCTCCGTGCTGGGCGTGGAGTCTGCTTAAGGTTCTTTCTCTCCCCCTCTCCCTCTGTCCGCCCCTCACCCCCATACACACTCTCTGAAAAAATAAAGTCTCAGGATAGAAGGCCCATTGGGTACAGTTGACATCTTTACAGAATCAAGAATTGCATCGTGAGTGATCCATGTCCTCAAGACCTGTCATAATCATACTTTGACCAGCCTGCTTCTGATCTGCCTGGTCTGTTAACCAATAATGAACAAAGAAACCCTTAAGCCCACAAGCAGGTCTTTGAGAGGAACAGGAAAGCGGCAGTCTCAGAAAGCTGCCTCCAATTTCAGAGCCTTCAGAGAAATTCCAAGGGACAGATTAGGGAGCAAGCAGCTACCAAAGGCAGAAGCAGCAGGTCGTGAGGCCTTTGCTGTGCAGGAAAAGAGAATTTATGAAGACTGCCTGGTAAAAGTAGCTGTATCTCCTTACACCTGTATTAGAGGGCCAAAGTGAGAAGCTGGCTCACGCTGGGGCTGGCTGCGGCTATGGCCACAGGCGCTTTCCCGCGCAGCCCCGCTCAGCCATCCCGGTGATGAAGCAGCGCTGTTCCTTGCGCGGTGACGGGAGCTCGGTGGAGCTGGGCGCATGCGCAGGCCAAATGGGGTAGACACACTTCGGTATAACGCAGCAGGGAGAAGCAAGGGATTAGAGGTGCTGTGGATCCAGGGATGGATCTGAACAACCATCGGGTGAAAAAAGTAAGATACAAAATGAAACCTACAGTAATGCCATTTAAAAAATTTAAAATAGGTGCGCAGAATAGCAGAACACATTTTAGAAGAATGCATACAAACAAAAAGAACCATTTTAAACGCATGAGCATGGTTAGCTCAAGGATAGGAGGACGACGCAGAAATACAGAACACGAGAGGAGAGAAATGTGAAAGAATAACTTCGGGGTGGGTACTGGTGCTCAGGCATTTGCCGGTGGAAAACTTATGGGTGCGTGTCCCCAATCCCACCCAAGGATGTGCTGGTAAAGTTAAGAAATGACTCTCCAAGGGAAAAATACTGATTTTTGGTGATTGCAATTTCCAAGGTGAAAATATTACCATGAGTGATTTCAAGCTTCCTACGTGACGTTCTGAAAGCAGTTTGGGAGATGCACTCCCCCTGCTCTCAGTCCGCTCCACGGAGTTTCTAATTTCCTACACTACTCCCTGGAGATTGTCAGTACGCTGACTGATCATCTGACAGTACCTTTTTGAAAGCCAAAACATATGTGACCAAGATAAGGCAGAACTTTAGTAGTGTGTCATTTTACTTGCCGGATATACACTGCACCTCTTAGAAGGTTCATGGAACATACACCACCACCCCAACCGAAATCTTTCTTTTTAGCTTCTTAGAAAATGCTAGTTATGTTTCTGTCTCCCCCAGTCATCACTGACCAAATAAACTATGACTTAAGAAATATCCCCTGAATGTCTACTTTTCTCTACAAAATGTTAAAAAGATATAAAACGCTTGCCTAGTCATCGATATAATTTTCCAAGAAAGATAGTAAATGCTATTTGGCAGAGAAATGCAATTAGCATCGTTATTTCCTAGAGGAGAGCTATTTCTTTGAAAGAATTAACCATCATTACTGGTAAAAGGTCTAGATCAGCCTCTACCAAAAGTCGTAACTTAAAAAAAGAAATCTTGTCATCCCAATAGAGCAGGATGTCTCAACCCCATCCCTACTGGCATTTGGGGTCCGGTAACTTTGTTGTGGGGCCTCCTATACACTGTAGGAGGTTTAGAGGCATCACTGGTCCGTATCCACTCAATGCCCCTAACCCTCGCTTCAAGTTGTGACAACCAAGATGTCTCTAGACTTTGCCAAATGTGAAATCACCCCCGGTTGAGAACCACTGCGTTAGAAACATACACATCTTTCATCTCTTCCAGTTTTAATTTTCACTGAGGAGGTCTCGCCGCGGTGGCATTATAAAGCAACTGTTATTTGGGTCAAGTAATGAGTGAGTTGCAAGAGTTCTGTAAATCTTTTATGAATTGCTTTTGTTTCTGCTATTTCATAACTATGTTCCAAGTCCCTGGCACTGTAGCCAACTATGAGATCAGTTTTTGCCACGTGCTGTCACCAAACCAACATTCTCCAGATATTTTTTTCTTAGCTTGATTTTTTTAAAAACAGGTCTGGTGTGAGCCACCAAACACTGCAAAGCAGCTAGGTGAGGTACCGATTGCCAACAGAGCTTCAAAAAGCCTTTCAAGTGGCTTTTCCTGCTTCCTAGCTAGCAACAACTCCTCTTACCTCATACAACACATTTTGATTTTCTCTTTCCTTTGAACACATGACAAGGTAAGGCAATTAGTATCCTGGTCCCCATTTGACCAATGAGGAAGCTGAAGCTCAGGGAGAGTGGGGTCAAACTAACCCAGGTAACCCAACTTACTAATGGCAAGACTGAGCACAAAAATAAGGACCCCTGACACATCCCAAGGTCATGCTGCCACTCACCACACGAGGCTTCTTAGGCTTTCTATAACTTTCCAAAGAGAAGTCAAGAGAAGACCAGAGGGAGGAAGAGAGAGGGAGAGCAAGACAGAGGCAGAGGTAAAGGAAATGAGAAAAAGTAGACATTAGTCTCCTAAACTATAATAACTCCTACTGAAATTAAACATTGTTTTTACTGATAACTCAGTGGTAAAATAGAAACATTCCCTCTGTTGTTCTGCACATTATGTAGTATTTCTTCCTGAGAGCTTAAGCTTTCAAATAAAAATCGATTTTTTAGAGTCTTCTAAAATCCACGGTGTTAAAAGGCTTCCAGACTCATGGGCCCAGACATCCCCCTGCTTTGGGCCACAGAAGTCTCCCTTCACTGTCAGTTAACCTGCATTCTCAAGAATTCCTGGAGGGCAAATAGAAGGACCCAGACACAGCCAGTCATTTTTCCATGACACCATCTAATAGGTCTCTATTTGAGCTGACCCTTCTGTGCTAGGAAACTGTTCCTGGAGTCTACAAACGAGTTTATTTCTCCAGATGTCCTTTTCTTAGATGATGTATATTATGTATGTGTCCTTTCTGAGAGCGAGCGAGTGAGCGAGAGAGCACGAACGGGAGGTGGGGGGGGGGGGGAGCAGACGAAGAGTTCGGAGAAGCAGGCTTCCCGTAGAGCAGGGAGCCCGATGCAGGGCTTGATCTCAGGACCCTGGGATCATGACCTGAGCCACCCAGGTGCCCCTGTATGTGTCAGTCCCTTCTAATACTATATATTTTTTTAAGGCTTTGTCCTTTTTGTAACACTTTCTTGAGAATTAGAATAATTGGTCTCTGCCTCTTTATTCTTTTCATTGATAAACTCTGTGTTTCCCCTAAAACCTACTACTAAAATCTACTTTCACCTGAAAATTAAACTCTCAGCTTATTACCCTAAGCTGCGGCAGAGGTCATCACATTTTTTTCTGTAGAAGGTCAGACAGTAAATATTTTAGGTTTTGTGGGCTACCTAAGGCCTCTGTCATATATTCCTTCCTTCTTTTAACAATGCTTTAAAAATGTAAAAACCATTCTTGAACGCCATACGAAAGGCCTCTGGCCACCTCAGTTTATCAACTCCTCCCCTAAACCATTCATTTTAATGGGCCCTAACTAACCCATTTGGAATGAGATGGAGCAACTTCACTTACCCATACTTCAGAAGACAAACTGAAGGGAACTAAAGCTCACAAATCGGTAATTCAGAAGGGCTGGTGGAGAAAGGGGTCTCCCAATGGATATGAAGGGTGACCTTGACTTTACTTGGTTTTGCCATGAGAAACCTGAACCCAGAGAAGCTGGTCAACAGGGATAAAATTGAAATGAAAGCACAAACAATAAGGCCAGTGTATTTTACACAGACTCCCGAGGTAGTTAATGTGGGAAACAGCAGGCTCGGCATTAAAACCCTCTCTGGGCTTGGTTCATTCAGCACACATCTCATTCATGCTCACAGGCCAAAATGAGGCGAAAACGAACACAAATCAAGCCCTGGAGAGGAATCCAGGCCTCGGGCAGTGTCTCTAAGTTATGGACCCCAATTTCCGTAAAACAGCTCAGCAGGTTCCACTAAGCGTAAGATAACTTTATTTTAATAAAAATGTCCTCTTTTGAAGCTGGCCCTTCCCCCCATCACTAGAAAGCAGTTTTTATCAATAAAAAGCAATCCATTTATTTAGACATACTCTTTTTAGGCAACTTTAACTTTTTCCACCGGCGTAACACCACTCTGTACTTTTCACTTTCCGTTTTCTCCTCCAACACTTTTTTCAGAAGAACCCTCATCACTGTCTCTGTTTCTGCTTCTTTATCCTCTCCAATTAGAAGATCCAATGTATCTCCCACTTTCACCTGAAAATTAAAAGAAAACTCAGCCTTCATTGCATTTTGGGAAACGCAGGCCGATGCAAATGTCTTTTTTTTTTTTTTTTTTTAAGTAATCTTTACACCCAAAGTGGGGCTTGAACTGAGATCAAGAGTTGCATGCTGCACTGACTGAGCCAGCCAGGTGCCCCGCAAATGTCCTTGCTGTGAATTTTTATGAGGGGACCATCATCACCCAGAGGGGCATGTGAGAAAAGGTAGTGATTCCTCTGAAGCCATCCCTTATCCCTAGTGCCTCCAGGGCAAAGGGCCTCACGCAGAGGAAGCCTCCAACACACGTGCCCAACACGATCCGCGTCCTTCCATCAGACCTCACCTCACCTGCTTATGGGCAGCTCCTGTGTGCTGTGGCTCGAATACTCACCTCTACCAGGTGATTGAAGGAAATACACGGAGGGATTTGTTTTGGTAACAGTGACAAGAGGCAAAGAAAGTGGGGCACAATCGTAGAGAGTCTGTGCATAGTAATTATTGCCAGCACTGAGAAAACGATTTCCAGTGTAACTTTTCACTGATTTCTACCCAGATGAGCTACGTAATTGGGGATGTGGCAGTCTGTTGAAAAATTAGTCACTGTGGAGTAACATTCAGCTGTATCCCTTAGAGGAATGGGAAACTTCTTTCCGAGCACCGATTAGCCCCAGTGATGCCACATCATCAAGAAGATGGGATTCAATTCACAAAGACGGAATGTCACTAAAAGGATCAGGTTGGATGCTGACTCAATGGGTTCAAAGGGCTGAGGTCAAACCCATTCTTGCCCAGGTGGGACCCTTGGGCTGAGCAGTCCGGGGCATGTCACAGCAGTGTTGCCAGGGACAGCCCATGGTGGGCACCTGGTGCTGACAGGTCGGGATTCCAGGGGCATCCGCCCAGTGACTCAGGATGGAGCTAAATGGACGCAGGTGCCATAGACTGCTTCTACTAGAACACAAGCCAGGAGTGACTGGGGCCACCTCAGACCGCTCACTATTGCTTCCAAGGAGGTGGGCAGCAAGCCCCTGTGTCGGCCACAGACTCTAAGTGGGCAAACGTGGCCATTTAAAAGCCTACGGGAGGGTTTCTGTTTAAGACGTATGGTGCCACTTTTAGCTTGTTTTCTGATTAATACTCTCTGAGGCAGTCCTAAATTCATGCTGTCCAAAACATCTGTGCCTTAGCCAGGCAAGCTCCTATTTGTTTTCCCACCCATTCAAGGGCCCAATATTCAGTCCACAACATGGGACTACACATGTCTGCCACCAGGCCATACTGGCTAAGCCGGGCAGCCTAGAGCGGCTGCCTGCGAAACACACAGCAGCAGATGAGAAACCGTTAACCTTCTCCCCTCTGGGCTGAGAAGCAAAAAGGCTCACACCACAAGGAGGCATGAAGACTGCTTCTCCCCAGGACCTGGAGGACGGGCTGACCCAGGCATCATCTAGGCGGGGCTGTCCTCCCGTAGTTCTCATGAGTTCAATTAAAAAAAAAAAAAAAAAAAAAAAAGACCATTTGGCCTGTGTGGACATTTAAAATCAATGTCCAGAGATACAAGGTTTCAGAACATTTTGAATGCCTTTGCATCTTTCAGCATGACTTTATTTCATTAAAATTCACTTTTTAAGTAACATATGCATATGATACAAAATATAAAAGGCATGAGAGGGTACACAGAGAAAAAAGCCACGTCCGGCGTACCCCTTCACAGACCTACTGTGTGCGGCCGAGCAGCGGATCCCTTTGGTAGCTTACTTCTAAGGCAGAGACTAGAGAAGGAACGTCTCCTTTAGCCAGCCAATCCCAGGGAGCGGGGAGTTTAGGAAGCTTCAGTCCCACACTCGGGCTCTACGCAGCCTCTGTGTAAGTCAGCAGGGACCCGGCCCCGCCAACACCTGGTTTGCAGCTTATGGAGAAGCTCTGCTGCGCCACAGGGGGCCAGGGTCGCCACCGAAGCCCCACGAACCCGTCCGACCCTTCAGGGCCGGCAGCCAGCCACAGACCCATGCAGCAGGCCACGGAAGCGGAGGTGTCCTTTATTCGCTGCAAGGGCCTGTCCATTCTCATGTGGGAGAAGGCACAGCACACACGAAGCAAAACTGGCTGGGATTACGGGCTGTCCCAAATATCTACATTTCAAATCTCCCCTCAGCTGCCGTTACTATGGCTACAGGCCTCCTAGTAACAAGCCAGTCGAGTGTTAACGCTGGCCCCTTCCTTTGCTGACCCTCAGGAGAAATCTGGAAGGCAGCGGAGACAACAGAACACCCAAGGCAGAATGAAGCAGCAGCAATTAGACTGTAGTTAACAGTATCTCAAAGCAGAGGGGGGAGAATACACTTGTGTTTGTAAATGAGGCCCAGGCACAGAGGCGTGGTGCGACCAGAGCAGGTCTTGTCTTAGGAACACTGCGGCTGAGGAGGGGGGGCAGGGCCACAAGCAGGAAAAAGCAATTATGGGATAAGAAGAGCCTGATCTCCAGATGCATGTCTGGAGCGCCTGATTTCCTGCAGCTCACAGAGCCACGACTGACACCCCGAACCTGCTGGGTCAGGTGCCATCACAGACTGTGGACCTTGGGACTCGCAGCTGAGACAAGCACTGGGGAGTGCCCCCCTCCACCCGTCTGTTTAGCCATGAGAACCTGTAGGATCCCAGAGAGCAAGGTCTCTGAAGAAAGCCTCAGTGTTTACCTGGATCCATGGCCAACAGCTCACACCCTCCCTTGTCCCAGAGCAAAAGGATGTGGCTCAAGCCCTCCAACCCCAGGGGTGTTGTGAAATATGAAACAAGCTTCAAAGCCACCTACAAATGTGTGTCTAACTTCCCTGGACACTCAAAAAGAGTGTCCTCACAGAGTGAGATTATGTCTGCCAAAGCCTCATATGTCTGTGTCTTCCAAGCTTTTTTTTTTTTTAAGATTTTATTTACTCATTTGAGACAGAGCGGGCAGCTGAGGAAGGGGGAGGGGCAGAGGGAGAAGCCGACTCCCTGCTGAGCCGGGGGGGAGGGAGGGCTCAATCCCAGAACCCTAGGATCATGACCTGAGCCAAAGGCACATGCTTGACCATCTGAGCCACCCAGGCACCCCTCTTCCAAACTTTTTAAGAGTCTCTGTCATACACTTTTTTATTGTGCTTTGTTAACTTATACTATTCTTACTGTTTTTCCAATTATGAAAGTGATCTATACTTATAAAAAATTCAGAAAAAAGAATGAAGAAAATATAACCAATAATGCCCCAAAGATAAATACTAGTAATATTAGTATTTTAATTCTAGATGTAGGTATATATGCAACTTATTTCTACAAAAATACACAATTTTAACTATATATAATTTATTGTAACAACACTGGACACCGGAAATACATTTTCTTATACCCGATTTCTGTCACTTAACAATAGTATTGCTATGGGCCTGTTAGGAAACAGGGAGTCTCTTTTTTGATAGCTGTTCTGTGCACAGAGTAGGGCACGCAGCAAGTGCAGGGGCGTAACTGCTGAACTGAACAGAATCACACATCTGCTCAGGTAACAGCAGTCCAATGTAACCTCTACACGGATCAACTCTTTCTTCTTAGTCTCATTATTAGCTTTTCATGGGACTAATGACTTGGTTAACAGATTTTTGCCAAGTGATGGTGGCCTGTTTTAAAATTTTGAAGAAAAAGGAGGCTGCAAAAGAGCAAGTGGTTTGTGTGACTAAGTTGGCTGGTGATTCTCACTAGCTTGAGCAGGCCCATGGGGAATTGCAGAGAGGGCAACACCAACACACACAAGGAGTCACTGATGACCCCTGAGGGGAAGCTGGGGTGGCACTGAGTACTGGCAGAGAAACAAAAATATCTGCTGTCAGGGGCACCTGGGTGGCTCAGTTGTTAAGTGTCTGCCTTTGCCTCGGGTCATGGTCCCAGGGTCCTGGGATCGAGCCCCGCATTGGGCTCCCTGCTTGGCGGGGAGCCTGCTTCTCCCTCTGCCTGATGCTCCCCCTGCTTGTGCTCTATCAAATAAATAAGTTAAAAAAAAAAATCTGCTGTCAGAATAGCTCACCGTTCTGCTTTTCTTCCATAATTTTTCCCCATTCAGCCTGAGTTCACCTTTGTAGAATGCATCTTCTACTTTGCTTTAAAAAAAAAAAAAAAAGTCAAATGCTTTGAAACAGAAATATATTCAAAACAATTATACAGGTCTGAGAAAAACACCTGCCATTTATGCGTGTTCTGACAGTGACCAGCCTCTCTACAAAACCACCATTCTGAGTGCGGGGAAAGTGGGAGTCAACTGTTCCTCCCATCTGTGTCTGAAACAGCGAGATCAAGGGGCACTTCTGAACGATGCCGGACTGGGGCAGCAGTCTGCTGGACTCAACCGGGCAGGGAAGCTTTGGGAGGGCCTGGGGCACCCCACCTGACTCCTGCAGCAGCCGCCTGCAAAGCGGGATTCATGACCACCAAAGGGCTCCGGGGTCCGAGAGAAAAACCAGGCACCACACGTATGTGAGGCCATTAAAAAATCCTCTGCGAGTCCACACTGAGGTTGGGGAAACTCCAATCCAGCAGCTGGTGATCTCTCCATTCAAATCACTGGGCAACTAGACCAGAAGAGGGTGCTGACAACAACAGTCAGCGCGCTTTTCTCTCGCTGCTCTGACTCCAGGTGATTAACATCTGGGGTTCTGCTTATAAGAGCAGCAGCTATTTCTCTGGGGAAGAGAGAGCCCCCCCCCCCTTTACAAGTCTGCCAGATTTTAGAGAACATTCAGTAAATTCCCACGAGGATGCCTATGGGTTTAGTCATCTTTATGAGTCCTTAAGCTTCATGGATTAAAAAATTAAACTATGCCATTAAATTATGTCATACAGGTATAAATTATATATGGAAATCCGAAAATATTATCCATACCATGATTCTTACCTTGCATGCAGTATGCACACAATGACTGCTAAAGGAACGAACAATGAGGGTCACTATTCTTATATAATTTGTCTAGCAGAGAGAAGAAGAATACTAAAGAAATCTTCAAAGTTCCACTTAACATCTCTATGCACTATGTATGAATACACAGTATTTTCTTCGTAATAGCTAACATACAAATGAGTACCTATTATGTGTCAGGCACTGTTAAAATGCTTTATTATTTTTAAATTTAAATTCAATTTAATTAACAGAGAGTGTATTCTTGGTTTCAGAGGTAGAGTTCAGTGATTCATCAGTTGCATAACGCCCTCCTTCATGCCCACTGCCCAGTTACCCCACCCCCCACCTCCCCTTCAGCAACCCTCAGTTTCCTAGAGTTAAGAGTCTCTCATGGTTTGTCTCCCTCTCTGTTTTGTCTTCTCTTTCCTTCCCTTCCCCCATGTTCATCTGTTTCGTTTCTTAAATTCCACATACGAGTGAAATCATATGGTATTTGTCTTTCTCTGCTTAACTTACTTCGCTTAGCATAATACCCTCTAGCTCCATCCACTAAGATGCCGTAGACAGAGGAGCACCAACTTCTAAAGTAGGTGCTATTTTACATTTTACAGATGAGAACACTGAAGCTTAGGGAATTCAAGGAACTTGCCCAGGCTCACAGAGCACGAAGGGTCTCACTGTAGAGCCTGCATTCTTTACCACCACATTACACTGCTTCTGTTGCTTCTAAAAGGTACCTTCTTACCCTGTGGCATTTGTGAAACCCAGGCACGATTTCCTCTTGCTGTATACCTCTAACATGGTCATTACTCTCAAGCAGCTGGTATTAAATCCGTGGCTCATCTTAAGAGCTGACTGTGTCTCAGAATCAGGGACATCTGGCACATGGGATGTACAGGCAGTCACCTGACTTGCTGGGGAGTCAGTGTTCTCATCTGCAGAAGGAAATACCTGAAAAGGGTGACCGGGCAGGTCCTCTCCTACCTGGGGCTGCCCCTCACCACAAGATGGGCTGAGTGATGGGAACTACTACATGAAAATGACACAAAGGATCTTGTAATAAAATGCACATTGTACTTACTTTCTCCCGACATCTAGGCCCGTCTTTAGGATAACATCATACCGAAAAGACTGCACTACCTTCTCCAGGTCTTTATAGTCTTTGACCACACTGGGGTCACCCTCGAGCTCCTCTTCCTGCTCACTCGTCTCACAGTTGCTCTCGTCATCAGAGTCCTCTTCATCCTCGGCTTTTTGCAGAGTCTTCTTAGGGGATTTTTTAGAGCTTATATTACTTTTAAGTCTTATGGAGAGTGGGAAAATATATTCTGGAGATATTAAAAGCCTTGGGAGTCTCAGTGAGAAAATGTTATGGAAAAATGTTTTACAATTTGATGTGTTTAACTGGGTACTAGAAAAATGTAAGTATCGATTCCAGGAAGCACAGAGTTTATACGAAGGTGTCCCTTGTAGCGCTCCCCAGAGTCCAATCCAGACATCTGGCTTTCTCAGAACACTGGCAGGCAATCTGACACCAGTCATAGCCATGGCGCATATAACCTGAAACAGACAATAATTCCGTTTTATTTCACAAGTGCAGTATCCTGGCATTCTTACAACACAAACCATTCATACCACGAACACTCTAGATCAGTGCTGTACTTATTCTCCCCTACAAAAGACCATATTGGTCTGCACATACTCAGGGCCATGCACTTTTCTATAGTGAGTCTTCTAGCTGTGCTTCCCTCATAGGGTGGTCAGGAGGGGGGACTAGATACTAAGATGTGTGAACACACCGGTTCTCCTCTTCTCCATCCCACAAATTCACCTGGACACTGATTGCGACCGAAGAATATTAACAGTAGTTCTCAAAGGTTTTAAAAAAAAGATCTCATGGAGAGAAAGACTATTTGTTGACATACGTCACATCCTTACAATACTGACTTTGCCAAGGAAGGACACCAAGTCATGACTTTATAAAACCCAGAGTGAGTCTCTAGACTTTATTTCAACCCCCAGCCCCAGCAAATCGGAGCTAGCAATGAGCAGACTGGACAAAGCTGCATTTTACCTTCTTTTCCATCTTTCTCCTACTGTTTGAGGCATTAGCTAGCAGAGAAGGAAGGGGCCAGGAGACCCACAAACTAGGTAATTGTTTCCTGAGGCACTGAGGTGCTGACATGCCAGAGAGTAGTCAATTCCTAGGTTACCTCAAAAGGAGCAGAAACCATCTTATTATGATGGTAGCAAACCTTCCCAAGTACATCAAGATGGCTTTAGAGACCACGATTTAGTAATCTGAGAAGGGTTGCCATATGGTCCATGTCCTCATACCTTAAGTCTGCAAATGACTTTCCACGATGCCAAGGCTATACTTTCAGACAGATTTCTTTGATGAGGGTTTCAATGATTTTTCCTGCCTACTTTCCATTCACCACAAAGCTGACAATGGTAATTACCTGTAAGCCCACTCAAAAGCACATAGCTAGCTACTTCCAAATTATATTTGTTAACATTTTGCCTCTTATTTTTGTTGGCATGAACAAGGTAGACAACACAAGCTCAACTCTGTATCTCGTTGCTCTTGGGACCCCAATCTGAGTCTTAACTGAGAAATAAAGCAGGCATAATTTAAGGGCTGTTTTTCAACCCAAGTATAATTTGAAATAATTTTTAAATGCTATAAAAACCACAGAGTGTTCTAAAATACTGACCGGAAACTATTTGAAGCACCTTAAAGAGAAATATTGAGAGAAATCATTTTTATACATATTCTACCTAATTTAATAGAGAATGAATAATAACCAGACATAGAAAAAAAACTTAACTTTTATAGAAGTAGGGATAAAGAAAGAAAATAGTATATTTCAGTTCCTAGACTTTGTATTTCATGGATCACTACAATAAAAAATTAAGGTGTGCCTGGCTGGCTCAGCTGGTGGAGCATGTGACTCGACTTCGGGTTATGGGTTCGAGCCCCACACTTGAGTGTAGAGCTTACTTAAAAAAGAAAATCTTTAAAAAAAAAAACCCCAAAAATAAAAAACCGCACACACAAGAAAAGGTACCTAATGGTGGACTTCTTGCCAAGTAAAGATTTTTTTTTTTAAGCAGTAACTGCTGCTCTTATTACCATAATTTAAGAGAAAGAAGATTTCAATGATTATATGTGAAACATATTTTCGCGGCAGAAAATTTGAAAAGAATATAAAGAAAATTCAAACCACCCATATCCACTCTATGACAACCACTGTTAACATTTTAACATATATTCTTCATGGTGTAAAACTTGAAAAAAGTAATTCTTTCATAAGCAGAGCCTTTCCTACCTTCCCACCCACCCAGAACACACAGGAAGATTAACCGTAAGCGGCCAGAGCTCTCTACAATCAGCCTCAGAAATTCTGTGTCAGTCCCAAGTTCTAGACGAAGTAGCATTTATCCAGGTGATGTCCAAGTTACGGGCCAAGACAGCCCTGGCTGAAATCACCACTTACTGTTGGGCCTAGACCAGACTGGTTAATAAGATGCTCTTGTAATACAGAAGATAAAGATTGGCATTAATGATGATAATCTGCCTATCTTTAGGTGTTTTTCAAATTGTAGGTCATGAGCCATTATAAAATTTGTACTTTTTAAGAACTAAAACTGGGGGTCGCTGGGTGGCTCAGTCGGTGAAGCGTCTGCCTTAGAGTCTTCACAGGTCATGACTTCGGGGTCTTGGGATTGCTCCACCCCCCACCCCGTGCCATGTTCCCTGCTCAGTGGGGAGCCTGCTTCTCCCTCTCCCTCTGCTGCTCCCCCTGCTTGGACTATCTCGTGCTTTGTCTCTTGCTGTCAAACAAATAAAAAAGTTTTTAAAAAAACTAAAACTGAAGAGTATAGATAGAAAATATTACAATACATCACATACAGTAAGAGTAAATACTGCTTTATGAAACTTTCATTATAATACACATATGTAAGTATACATACACATACACTGGGTCACCATGGAAAATGTATTTACTAAAGATAACAGTAAAAAAAAAAAGTCAGAAAACACTGGCCTAAGTGACTTCAGCAAAGTTTGTTTTGCTATCAGGTATAATGCCAAAGGCTGTGTATGTATGCCTGCGAGCTGAGAACCTGGCTACACATTCCCCCCAATTAACAATACTCCCAGAGCCGTATGTGTGTGCAGAGATGAAAAGGGCAGCCTCTCAGGGATAACTTTATACAGGGCCCTCATTTTACAGATGAGCACAAATGAGACTTGGAGCAATTTAACAATCTGCTAGGTCGTACAGCGAGTAAACAACACAGCCAGGATTCCAATGACAAGTCTTCTTAACGCTCATTGTTTACTATAGGTCAGGCTCCGCTCTACCTATTAATTCATTTATTCCTTTCAACCAGCCCATCTCAGTGACACGGTCACATAAATACTAAGTGGATTCAAACCTAGGTTCCCTGGCTAAGTCAAGGCTCTTTACCACCATGCTGAACTGTCCATCAGTCTTCTGACTCCGAGGCCACTGTTCTTTCTACTACCCCATGAAATTTATGTCTCATTTTCTCTTGAACAAAAACCAACTTTCACCAACTGCAATACCAGAGAGAATGGATAGTTTCAGGAGCAGAGGAGTGGGAAGAACTGTTGGCCTGACTTAGAAGAAATCCTAAGAGGAGACATCCTGGGGGAGGGAAGTCCTGTCTGTCAGGTCTCTGGACTCCCACGTTCCCCCCGACCCCGAATTCCTGCCATTATAGCACACTGTTACCTTTTATGAGGAATGCCTGGATATGATGGTGCTCTCTGTATATATCACGAATACATTACATTTACCTACACTAGGAAACTTTTATTAGCACAGAATAACTATTAAAATAATACTCACATAGAAAAACAAATAACATAGCCAAAATGTCAAGCCAAGCATTACCTTTGTGTTTATTAGCTACTCCCTCTTTGTGATCTGCTTCATTCTCTAGCAAATGCTGGTACATGCTGAAGTTTAGATATAATTTATGAACATAAAATTGAGAAAACACGTTAACCTAATTTTTGCTGGCGAGGATGACCATTTGTAGCAGTGGGAACCAGGGCCACGGGGTAGAGTCTGAGAACCCAAGTTCTACCACAGAGCTTTCAAACTGGTGGGATGAGGAGTTTTGGGGGAGAGGGCTAACCAGGCCCCAACCCCTCTTCGATTAGAACAGCAGGGCTGGAAAATACTGGGGTTCCTTATATTCCACTTGGAAGAAAGGATTCTACCACTGGAAAGGAGAGTGTCTGTCCTTTAAGCATGGCTTCTCCATCTTCCAGGCTCCACACAAGACACACTCTTCCTCTCTGCCCTCCCCTGCCCTTTCCCAAACTCATGTTGCACCAATACTGTTTATTTCGTACTATTCTTATCTCCCAAACTCTAAGGGTAGTGACAGGGCAGGAACTGTGCCTCATCCCTCATTCCCATCCCCAATCAGCTCGGCACACACAAAAAACCAGTGAACACTTGCAGATTCATTTTCCAGAAATGAAGGGAGCATCCTACCCTTTACCACATCCACCCCTCATGCACTCATTTGCCTGCATATGCCAAATAGCCAGACAGACTAGGTCTGCTTATAAAGCAAACAGTTCTTGTCCTCAAGAAACTGCCATTCAAGTGGAACGTGGATGGGTAAACTGGCTGTCAGAGAACTTGAGTGAAAGCCCAGGTCCAAACAAGGCTGGACCCTGCACAGACTAAAGCTCGGAGCAGGGATACCGGAGAAGAGTTCTAATGGCAAAGGTGGTCTGACACAGAACTTTGGGGGAAACAGCAAGTTACAATGATAATTTTTCACTTTCTAATGGACCACTCTCATTAGCATGCTGTTATTTCTCACTGAATAACCAACCAACCTTCTCTTAATCCCACTGACCCCTAGCTACAACTTCTCTTCTTCCTCTTTACAACAAAACTCCTCAAAAAGGGTCGTCTATACTCTCCTAATGCCTCTCATTTTCTAAACCCAAAAGATCATTTGTTAGTCCTCAACTCGTTTGACTTCTCAGCAGCATCTGAGACAACTGATCACTCCCCTCTTCTTCACTTGGCTTCCAGGACACCTTCCTCTTGGTTTTTCTCCCACCTTACCTGCTGTTTAAGACCCAGACGTCTTAATGTTGGAGGGCCCCGGGGCTCAATTTTTGGCCTGCTTCTCTTCTACATTCACTTTATCCAGCTCAGCTCTATCGGTCAGCTTTGACAAATGCGTATCAAGACGCCAAACACTTCCATGGCTTTAAATACTGCCTATATGCCAACTACTCCCCAAGCTATATCCCCATTCCAGACCTTTCTCCCAAATTCCAGACATGTAGATCTGTGCAGAAGAGTTAATATAGCAGGCTTGAGTCTATCCTTAGAAAGGCCTGCTTGCAAGCTGGACCTTTGGCTGGCATCTGGAAATTTCGATTTCAGGATTCTCAGAATTGACAGGAGTCGCTCACTGGGTCTAAACTGTACAATTCCTTATGCTGAGTACCTGCTTTCCTTCTGGGAGTCTTGAATTTTGGTACATGCTAGGCAGACAGTGCCCATGTGACTACAGCCAATCAACACCCTGGGCAGAGGTTCTAATGAGCATCCCTGATAGACAAAATTTCACATATGTTGTCACAATTTGTTGCTGGGGACTTAAGCATGTCCTATGTGAGTCCACTGGGAGCGGACTCATGGAAGACCACCTGGTTTCCTATACACTTTGTCCTATGGGTCTTCTCCCTTTGCTTACTGTACTTTGTATCTTTTTGCTGTGATAAATCATAGCCATGAGCCAGAGCCAAGTCCTGTTGAATCTTCCTAGGCAATCAGTGCACCTAGGGGCGGTCCTGGCGACCCGACACAATATCCAAATGCCTGATATCTCCACTTAGGTGTGTAACAGGTACTTCAAGCTTTACTGGTCCCAAAACAAACTCCTGACATGTCCCCAACCCTAAATCTGTTCCACTTGTAGCCTTCCCCAACTCAGGGAATGGCAACTCCACTGCTGTAAGTGCTGAGAACAAAAGTTTCCAGTCATTCTTGACTCCCCCTCGTACCCATATCCAGTATCAGGAAATTATGTTGGCTGTATCTTCAAAACATGTCCAGTTATCCCATCACTTCTCACCACTTCCATTGCTACCACAGATTTAAACCATCATGACAGATGATAGCAATACTACAAAGGCTCCATTAGAGTCTATTTTCCACATAGCAGTGATTCTTTCAAAAAGTAATTTATACTCTCTCACTCCTACAAAAGCACTGAGAAAAGGTTAGAGGCTGTATGTGATCTGGTCCCCCCATTCCCCCCATCTCTTGCGATTCTCAACCTCTGCTCTCAGGTCCAGCCACACTGGCTTTCCTGATGCTCCTCACTCCTCACATACAACAGGAACATTTCTGGTAAGGTCTTTGTTCCAGCTGCACCTAGAAATCTCTCCTCCCAGGTAACTGCACAGGTAACTCATTTTCTTCAACTCTGAACTCAAATGTCACCTCAGTGCTGTCCACTCATCCCAATTTTATTTAATAAGCATCTTGCCCTCCCAATCTCCCCTTACTCTGCTCTACTTTTTTCCTCCATAGCACTTCTACCAATTTACCGGTTTTTTTCTTTTTTTGGATTGTCTCCCCTAATAGAATATAAACTCCACAAGGGTAGAAATCTTCACCTGAATTTGTTTCCCTCTGCTGAATCCCAACTGCCCAAAAGAGTGCCTGGCACGCGATGAGTGCTTAATAAGCCACTGTGGAATGAAAGTAGATCAAGAGAAATGGAGCATCAGAATGAATCCAGAAAAGATCCCACAAAGTTTGGAGCTGGATCGAAGGGCAAAAGGCCAGATCTCCAAAGGCCTTGCCTATCAAAGTCTGGACTTGAGCCAGAGAGCATGTGAATCATAGAAAGATCTTAAGCAGGGAAGTAACCCGATAGAAATGCATTTTAAAAGAGTTCTTTGCCAACGGAGTGGACGTGAGCAAGTGGAGATGAAAACTGCAGGAAGCCCGGAGGTTTGTTGTGAGATCTTCAGGAGAGATAAGGTACGTGGACGAGCCCAAGCCTGTAAGCAAAGCAACGTCTGGAACAGAGGCAACGCTGCCTTTGACCTGCGGGACACTGGAATTGCTCCACGTTCGTGAACTTGCTCACTGCTCGGTTAGGGAGAACCTGGTCTAACTGCTTTGCCGTCTACTGCAACTGAAAATCGTCCCTTCTGGAGACCTCTCAGGTTGACCGCGGAAACAGGGTCGGCTTCCCCGACATACTTCCCACCCCCGCGAGCGGCGCACCTTCCCGGGTCTTCAAGGTCAACGGAAACTGGACACCTGCGTCCTCGAGCTCCGGGTCTGCGCTTGGAGCCAGCAGTAGCGGCCCGGCCCAAGGGCGACTGCCACGGCGCACCGGATCCCCACGGCCCCTGCAGCCCCCGGGTCCACAGGGCGTCCAGAGGATAGCCGGGCCGAGGCAAGACGCGGGAGATTCACGCCGAGTCCTGGCAGGAGCGCAGGCACGGCAAAGGCGCTCGTCGCGCCCCTACTTCACGAATGCGCGCCAGAAAGCAACAGGGTGGGCTCCGGCCGTGGACACAACACGCCCGACAGGGGCGCAGTTACTTGCCCGTCAGGGCCGCTCCTCCCTCCCTCGATCCCTCCCGGCGGCCCTGCGGCCCCAGGCCTCCATGCCCCGCCCCTCCTTGCCCCGCCCCTTCCGTCAGCGCCGCCGCGGCGAGAGCGGGCCGGGCGGGGCTCACGGGCGCGGCGGCGGCGGCGCAGCGACCCCTGCTGGAGATGGCGCTTCGGAGGACTGCTTAGAGGACGGGCCCCAGCCGATTCGAGCCCGGAAGCCGGCACCGCCTGTTTCCACGTGGCTGAATAGAGCTTACCTTCCTGCGGTGTCCTTGGATTTTCTGGGGTCACAAACCGTTTTGAACATCTTTGAGAGTTATAACGTTGCTTCCATAAAAATGTACATACCTGCCAGAACTTACTAATAAACTAAGGTAAGTTCACAACATCTTTTCAAGAATAAAGTGATTAAAAGGTAACTGGGTCATAACTCTCATGCAGTAGCTGATTAGATGGCCAAATAAAAAAGTCTGAAAAGACTGCTTAGCCATGGACCTTGTGGAAACAAACACTTTTGCGACGTAAAAAGATAAACCAGGAACCAAAGAAAGAACTTCCAAGGGACAACTTGTTTTATACATATTCACATTAATGCTTATGGGGACACATGCTCTGTTAAATCAAAAATAGCGATTTCCCCCCCGTTATCAGAGCATCCTCCCTTCTCTTTCCCGTCCTCACCATCTCTAAGTTTCCTACACATTATTTTCCACTGCTTCCTCATTGCTTCACACAGTGGCTATTTGGTTGCATTCAAACAATAAGAAAGAGGGGTTACAAATTGTTTCAAATGTTCAAATGATAAACTTGTGCAACTGTCAATTCAGTTTATACTGTTGACATTTTGGGTGATACACAGTTGCATTTACTAGTTTAAGTCATTTGTAGATTACAGATAAATTGTTAAATCTGCCAGTAATAGGGGTTTATCAGTATTATTATAAACTTACAAAATTACTCTATAATTGTGCATGATTACAGGAGGAGATAAAAGAATACAATGATAATGGGTTACACAGACCCAACCTGGTCACTGGCCTTTAAAAAAAGAGACATTTCATTAGATGAATCAAGTTAGTTTTTAATGTAAAATGCTAATTAATATTAAAAACTGCTGTGAGATTAACAAGTAGTATGTGGGGGGTTGGGAGTACATATATTTGTGATTTGTAATTTTTTTCTTGGGTGCCTGGCTGGCTCAGTTGGTAGGGCATGTGACTCTGGATCTCAGGGTCATGTGTTCAAGTCCCATGTTGTGTGTGGAGCCTACTTACAAAAGAAAAAAAGAAAGAAAGAAACATCCCATTCTTTTTTCCCCTGGGCAGGTGCTCCTGCTGTAGTGCATTTTGGGAGTTGTAGTTTTCACAAATTCAGACCATCTAGTGGACCAAATTCCCATTTCAGTCAACAGGGCTACACTACTTCAGATCACAAGATGAGAATTTTAATTTAGCTCAAGTAATTAATCTTACATAAAGAGTTGAGTAAATCGGATGGTGCCTTTGGTTGGGGCCAGTAGATAAAGTTATGTTTTTAATGCAGGAGGAGCAGCTTCACTGTCCGTACTCTCAACATTGTTACAGGCTAGATTTTATTTTCTTATATTTCCTCTTACAACTTATTTACTGCTTCTTTTTTTTATTAAAATATTTTATTTATTTACGTGAAAGACAGAAAGGTCAAGAGCACAGAGGGAGAGGGAGAAGCAGACTCCCTGCCGAGCAGGGAGCCCAACGTGGGGCTCCATCCCAGGACCCTAAGATCATGACCTGAGCCAAAGGCAGACGCTTAACCGACTGAGCCACCCAGGTGCCCCTGCTTGTTTATTTCTTTGTTTAAGCGGAGAAAAATTACCTGGAGAAGAAAGTTCCTTTCCACTGCCTCACCTTGATTATCCCAAACCTCAAGGTTGGCTAATCAAAAATATTTTAAGAACAATCCATTACAAAGCCCCATCCCTCCACTCTGCACCCCATCTCCTCTCACCTTCTCAAGGAGCTTATTCTTTTGGTTCTGCTCTTTCCTGAATCAATCTTTCACACTCTTCCGGATCATTCTTGCCCACATACAAACAATACAAGCAAGTAACAAGTTCTAGTTATCTCACATAAATGAGATATATGAGAGATTATTTAATTTTAAAAAAATGAATAGATATAATGTGATACTTTCTTCACTTTATTTTTGAGATTCATTCCATTTTTTTTTAAGGATTTTATTTATTTATTTGACAGAGAGAGAGAGACAGCGAGAGAGGGAACACAAGCAGGGGGAGTGGGAGAGGGAGAAGCAGGTTTTCCGCCGAGCAGGGAGCCCGATGCGGGGCTCGATCCCAGGACCCTGGGATCATGACCTGAGCCGAAGGCAGATGCTTAACCGACTGAGCCACCCAGGCGCCCCAAGATTCATTCCATTTCATTCATTCCATAAACATTCCATGTTTATACATACCTTTGGGGGGCGCCTGGGTGGCTTAGTTGGTTAAGCATCTGCCTCCTGCTTGGCAGGGAGTCTGCTTCTCCCTCTGACCCTCCCCCTTCTCATGTGCTCTCTCTCTCTCTCTCTCTCATTCTCTCTCTCACATAAATAAATAAAATCTTTAAAAAAAATAAATAAAAAATATACATACCTTTGGGCTTCTTCATGCAATTCATATGTAAATTATTCCCAGTTTATTTGTTTCCTTCCTAAAGAACAATTAAATTTTGTCAAACATTGCGGTGGTGGGCACTTATGGGGATACCACTGTGTGTGAAAGTGTCTCCAGGGTGCTTACTTAGAATAGGAATCTCCGGGACCCAGCATGTTTTTCTTCAATCTTAACTAAAAATGGCCCAATTTACACTTATATTATTAATTTACATTTGTACAAGCTCAGGAAAGCCATATTTTCCCCCATTCTCAATAGTTCTCAATAGATTTTTATTTTTATTTTTAAAGAATTTATTTATTTAAGAGAGAGTGAGAGAGAGAGCACAAGCAGGAGGAGCAGCAGAGGGAGAGGGAGAAGCAGACTCCCCGCTGAGCAGGGAGCCTGATGGGGGACTTGATCCGAAGACCCCAGGATCATGACCTGAGCCGAAGGCAGACGCTTAACCGACTGAGCCACTCAGGCACCCTGTCATCAGATTTTTAAATAGTGTCAGTTGTATGGATGGAAAATGGCACCTTGTTTTAACTTGTAAATTTTCCCTGATTGGTATAAAGATTGAGTATCTTTTTGTATAGTTGTTGGTCATTCAGATTTTCTCTTCTTTGATTTGCCAGTTTATACCCTTGCCCACTTTTCTGTGTAGTTTCCTTTTCCATTCACCTGCCTTCCTGGTGAAGGTAAACACAAGCACCGCCAGAACTCTAGGAACTCACTGCATGCATCATGCACATGACCTGCAACAGAAATGGCTCCCATGGAGTTCAGCTGTGTAGTGATCCTGGTAACTGTGCTCCTGGTTTGGGTTTATGAGGCCCTTGTTTAGTTGCTTGCTTGCTTTCTTTTTTTGGAATGGACTATTTTTAAAAAATTTATTTATTTATTTATTTGAGAGAGAGAGAGGGAGAGTGGGGAGAGGGGCAGAAGGAGAAGCAGACTACCTGCTGAGCAGGGAGCCCGATGTGGGGCTTGATCCCAGGACCCTGGAATCATGACCTGAGCCGAAGGCAGACGCTTAACCGACTGAGCCACCCAGATGCCCCTGCCAGTATTTTTTTTTTTTAAAGATTTTATTTATCTGAGAGAGAGAATGGGAGAGAGAGAGAGCATGAGAAGGGGGAGGGTCAGCAGGAGAAGCAGACTCCCCGCTGAGTGGGGACCCCGATGCAGGACTCCATCCTGGAACTCCAGAATCATGACCTGAGCCAAAGGCAGTTGCTTAACCAACTGAGCCACCCAGGCGGCCAGGATTTTTTTTTTTTAACTAAAGTACAGTTGATACACGTGCTATCCTAATTTCAGGTATATAATATAGTGATTCAACTTCTCTATACATTATGCTCTGCTCCCCACAAATGTAGCTACCATCTGTCACCATACAGTACTGTCACAATACCATTGACTATATGCCGTGTGCTCTACCTTCCATCTCCTTGACTTATTCATTCCATAACTGGAAGCCTGTACCTCCCACTCTTTCACCCCTTTACCATAATTTATTTTTATTCTTCTGTTGATGGACTATGACTACTTTTCTGATTTTTTGTTTTTGTTTTTACTATATTAGCAAATGTATCCATGAACCATCTTTCAGATTTATTTAAGCCAAAATTTTCAGAGGGCATCGATTTAGGAGTAAAATTACTGGAATTTTGAGTGTGCATATGTGTTCAGCCTTATAAAATAAGCCAAACTATTTACCAAAATGATTATTATCTGACCAAGCAGTATGTGAGACTTTCCAGTTTGGTTCATATTCTTTCTAGTAAGTGCAGCTTTACACTATCATGCTTTTCAATTTTTACTAATCTAGTGGGAGTGTAATGGTATCTCATTGTGCTATTAATTTGCATTTCTCTGGTTACTCATAAAGTTGAGCATCTTTTCATTTGCTTGTTGGCAATTTTTGTTTCTTCAGCTGTTTTGTCCAATTTTGTTTAATGATTTTATTTTATTTATTTTTAAAGATGTCTTTA